AGTCATAGGATAGTTTTCTATTGACTTCAGTGGAATTTGGTTAGTGCAGGGGTGCTCAACTTCTAGCTGGTGGGCCAGCTCTAGTGTGCAGAACCCTGTCATCTGGCCTACAGGGTTCCCAATAGGTCCAGAAATTTGGTGTGAGAGAGCAGTAGCAGCATTAATTGCTGCTCCCCTGCTGCCAAATTTCCAGGTTGCAGGGAGCCCTGCAGGCTGGATAACATGGTCCTGTGGGGTAAAGCAGACCAGCACACAGCAAAATCTGGGCATACAGTCAGGCTGGTGCACAGTCAGATCTGAGATGTGGGGCTGGGCTGCCATGCAGGCTTGGTCCTGTATGCAGGATTGCTTCTGTGGTCCAAGCCCCCAAAGGATCCAGCCCACAGACTGACCCTCTGCCACTTATCCAGCCTGAAGGGCCCGAAGTTTGAGTGTCACTGGCCTAATGGAGTAGTTTACATAGTTTGACATGCTTTCAACAAACTATTGTATTAAAGTTATGGAAGCAAGCTAGAATTGTACTCAAATGAGACTAAGTTAGGTCATACAGTCCTTCTTGTATGAAGAATATATCTATGCTTATTCTCCCATAACTGAATAGCAAATATTTTGGAGGAATAGGAGAGCCAGTCTATGAAAGTCACAAATTTGCATCATCAATATGTAGCTGAGCATTCAAATGAAACTGAGCCAGTTTTTCTTTTGATGAGTATAGACACAGTAGGTACATCTACATGAGAGGCTATGTTGCCGTAGCGACAAGCTATGGTGATGTAGCATTAGCAGGCACAAACTGTGATGCTGATGCTACTGCGCAGTAGGGTCAGAAAAGCCCCTACTGCTGGGACTGCACAGCAAGTACTAAATGACTGTGCAATCACAACTGTGCAGTTGGGGGTATGGAAATACTGAAAAAGCCTCAAGTGTTGAGTTTTCTTAAATAAAGAAAACAATACCAAAGGGAGGGAAATCATAATTGTATATGAACAGTGTGCACAAGAAATGAATGAGCCAGCTCCAGTTTCTATTCCAAGGAATATTTAATTTTAAAAAGTACTAAAATACTCATTGTACTGAGAAGTGGAACCAGACATCTCTTCTACTTTCTGAGTTTCCTACCCACTATTGTATAATAAGTCTTGTTTCCTCATTTTCCTCTATCTTCTCATTCTGGCCTAATGAATATTTTAATTTTGCCATGCCAAGTGGGACAGATTTAAATGGAGGGAGCAAGAGTGCTGCCACCCCAGCATATCCTCCTACCCATATAGGAGATACAGGTTCAAATCTCCTCAGGTAGAGGGGGGAATTGAATCTAAATGCTGTACCTCACATCCACTGAGCACTGGTTCCTCTTCCTGCTATAGTTTGTGTAGGACCTGTTCAGTAGCCAAAAGGCTATTGCACAAGGAATAATCAAGGTATAGTCCATATGATTCAATGTTCCTGCAGTTAGAGAAACTGCTTATACTGGCATGGTGTGTGCACACACCCATGTTATCATCATGCTGTGATTTACAGAAAGCACTCTGAAAACAAGAAAGACTATTTTCTTTCTCTGTACAGCTCTTCCTTTCTTAAATCTCTAATAAGTATCACCCTAAGGAAGAATCATGGCATTTTTTAAAATGTAAAAATAAAATTAATGCCTATGTGTCTGTAACAAGAAATGTTACAGCGAGCACAAAATACAAAACACAATTTAAAACCAAACACATTTCTTCAACATGAAAACTTAAAGCAACATTTTTAAGACCTTCATGTTGGCAATTTAAGCATATTATTTCAGGGAAATAATGCTAACATTACTTTGCTAGTGTGAATTTCAGCTAACATTTGTAATTTAATTCCTG